GGAGAACCGTCAGCACAATGTTGGTGAGGAGAGGGCCGAGCGTTTTGTGCGGAGCTGCTTTTTGCCCTGGGATTAATTTGTGGAATGTTGCGGTGGAGATGGCCGGGGAGATTCCTGGCAAGCAGGTAGGCAGCAGGCAGGGGGTATAGCTCAGTGGTAGAGCATTTGACTGCAGATCAAGAGGTCCCCAGTTCAAATCTGGGTGCCCCCTCAGCTTCTGCTTTTTTCTTGGGGTGTCGGGGTGTTTGCTCCCCGGACGGCTAACTGGCAGGATCAGCTCCGCTTCCTCTCCTTGTAATTCTTTTTCACGCTACAGTCGGAGCTAGAAAGCGAGGGGAGAACGACAGAGACACCCTAAGGCAGTTGCTGTGTCAAGTTACAGTCTACTCACTCGCGGGGCACAGACTGCAACTGGGAGAGGCAACCCGGAGGCAGGGATGGAGAGGAACTGGGCCAAGGTCGCCTGAGAAATGGAGCACGGAGGCAGCGTCTGTCTCTGGTGTCGGAGCGCAGGGGCCTCGGTGTCTTTGCTGCTGTCGCGTTGGAGTCTTGCAATTTCTGCGTTGGGATTTGCTCCCTCTGGAGCAGAGGGGTCAAGGCTTGGGGAAGAGCATATTTTACCATGTTGTTTTGTTGGGGAGTTGAGAGGTGCGTGTGCAGGGGGGTATAGCTCAGTGGTAGAGCATTTGACTGCAGATCAAGAGGTCCCTGGTTCAACTCCAGGTGCCCCCTCTTTTCTCCTCCTTCACCCTTCCTTTTCAAGCCAGAATTTGCCACCAAAGGAAGATGGGGAAGATCCTCCTGGGTCTTTGCAGCTCGTGCTGTGCTGTGAACATTGGTTTTCTGAGCTTCAGCATTCCCGGTCCTAAGGCCCTGACTATGGCAGAACTGCAGGGGTTGTGCACTGTGTGAGCAGCTACTCACTGCCTGTGAGTACTTGTTTCTGTTGTTAATTCTGTGTATGAATCCTATTTATCCGGATTTATGATATTTAAGTCCATGTCAGCCTTTGGCAGGCACATTGAGGCAGACAGGGGTCTGTCAGGTGAAGGAGTGTAAGCTGTGGTGGATGTAAGTGCTTGTCTGTCTCTCGAAATGTTTTAAAATGCCCTTGGGAAGGGTGCAGAGCCAGGGGGTATAGCTCAGTGGTAGAGCATTTGACTGCAGATCAAGAGGTCCCTGGTTCAACTCCAGGTGCCCCCTTTGCTTTGGGCTTTGTCCAGGAAAAGGTACGAGGAGCATTCATCAGTTTTTAGTGCGCAGCACACCGCAGGGAGGTCATTGAGCTTCTCTATTCAAGATACGGGGCCCTCGACCGAACACTTCCCATGAGAATCAATATCCCCGTCAGTGATGAAGCAAAGACAGAAAGTTTGTTGCTTGGCCCTAGTAGCAGCTGTTTTGGTCAACGAGGAAACTCGTGGGGATCTCGATTGTGTGCATTAGATCCTGTGTGTGCGTATTTGTCTTCAGAGTGTCTGCAGTAACCTTCTGTGGCACAATTTTGCTTGTGCATTTGCATGCACAAGAGGGTGCTGTCATACAGAAGACTCTAAGCAGTGGTCACAAAACCTGACCTATATATTAAGTTTTTTATGGGTCCTTGCACAAGTGCTGGCCCAGGGGGTATAGCTCAGTGGTAGAGCATTTGACTGCAGATCAAGAGGTCCCTGGTTCAACTCCAGGTGCCCCCTCTTTAGTTGCTTTTTCACCCTTCCTTTTCATGCCAGAATTTGCCTCCGAAGGAAGATGGGGAAGATCCTCCTGGGTCTCGGCAGGTTGTGCTGTGCAGGGAAGGCTGCTGGCTGAGCTTCAGCGTTCCAGGAACTGAGG